ATGCTTTGGGGCCTAATGTACTGAATATTTATTCATTAATGTATTGTAAAGGATTCATGTTTGTCTCAGAATTCATGTGTGCCATGGCTACAATCAATCAAGGATATTACCATTACATTCCCCTAACTCACAGAGCACTGCTGACAAACCACTCATTTAGTAGTGGTCTGTTGCTGAGAGCAGCATCTCATTTAGAGTTCTAAAATATCAGTCTGGTTATTGAAGGGTTTATCCTATTCATGTCAATGTTGCAATCAGGTTAAAACATATATTCAAGACACAGATTTTGAAGCCAAATTGTTAGTCAGTTGGACACTGTTTGAACCCTATAATGCAGAGGTGAATATAAAACAGTAGAATGCAGATGCTCACGCATTAATTTCATCTACAAATACATACTCAAAACATTTCACAGTAAAATTACGTGAAGTGCTTGGACTCATCTTGATGATGTGATAAAGTTCTGTATCAAATTCAAAGATTATTATTATATGGAATTGAGCAGTAAAATTAAAGTTAAGATACAAATGTAAAAGAAAACAAGTAAACAGGAAAGAAAAGTGAAGATCATACAAAGAAAATGTTGTTCTGCAGCATAACATTTTCTTTTCTTTAATAGCCCACAAAATATAGTCACTCCACTTTACAGTACATCCTGTGAAGTACTTTGAGACATCTCAACGACATGATAAGGCACCATATCAAATACAAGGATTACTGTTATTATTACTGTTCAAAGTAATTTTAGCTGTTTGAAGGCAATATAGCATGTAATGATACCTGAGCATCTTTAGAACTGAAATTCCATGACTTGCCTGATTGTCAGCAGAAATCTTAAAAATAACTAGCCCCTAGGACATGGAATCTACTTGGAGCTGCCAGCAGTTTATGAGATAAGATTATACTGCTAGAAGCAAAGCAATATCACTTGTCCCAGTATAGGCTGATTTGTACTTCCCCCTCCACCATCAAAGTGCCTCGGAACTGAGACAAGGTCAGTTCATATGCAATGAACCACAAGTTCCAAAAACACAAACATTTTAACTTGTACCATTGAGTTTTGATGTTACAAAGAAATTATTTTCATTGTTTGCCTTTTTGTCAAATTGTGTACAAAGTGTGTAATATGCTATTTCCTTGTTCATTATCCACTGTAGCCCTTAGCCCACAAATATACAGTCAATTCACTTTACAGTATATTCTGTGAAGCACTTTGAGATGTCTAGAAGATGTGAAAAGCGCTATATCAAATGCAAGGATTATTATTATTATTATTATTATTACTGTGTTTGTGGTATCCTTTCAATTCATGGTGGGAGTGGAATGTCTGATGTAGTTTAAATTTAGAAAATGTAATTTATTGTGGAGATGATGAATTACCCAAAGGTAGAAAGGCAATCAATTCCCTCGACACCACTCTCAATTCGGTGCAGTTGTGTTGTGCATTTGACTCGCATTTCACAGCTGCTGGTTAGTGAAATTAGGATTTTTATTACATAAACACTCACAGTCAGCCACTATCCCACTAATGATTCATTAATTTCAAGGTCCGCACTCTCACCTACAAATCCATCCACTCCTTGGCACGCACTTATCTCTCCAATCTATTCCTACCCTATTCCTCGCACCCATTCTGCTCAGACAATTTTAATTTGGGCTCGCTAAGTGCCCTTATCATCCCATTGGTAGCCAAACCTTAACTTTGGAACTTTCTCCCTCTACCACCCTGTCTCCCGCCTCTCTGTCTGGTCTTTAAGACCAGCCTCAAATTCTACCTCTTTAAGCATGGCTATGCCCACCTCCCCCTCCTCCTTCCTCCCCCATATTTGGTATTCAAACTCAACCTTGGAAAACGCTAGAGCTGGCGTACATCGACGGCACTGTAATGAATTATAATTGTTGTTGTAGCTCGAAGTCGGATGTACAACTCGAATCGATAGATTGTGAATATCTAAATTTAATCTGTGTATTAGATCTCACTATACAGCACATTTCGTTTGCTTGAAGTGAATAAACGGGCTGTGGGCAGGCCATCTGCATGATGAGAACTGCTATGTGAGCGTTGATGCATTTCTTTATCGCTACGTGCAAGAAATATCTGTTACAGATCATTAATTGTGTTGGTGTCACCTGTATCTAATATCTTTTTCTTTCAACTGGGGTTAATTAGCATTTAGCACCTAATTTTCTAAAACGGCCAAAAATCTGTGAGAAAAAAATACGTGTGGGATAATGTGATTAGATTAATTGGCTTAAAAATGATGAGGTTTGAGCCTCTCTCTAACAAAGTGTAATTTTCACTTTATTTTCTTACATGTATTAAATGCTAATTGGCTTTCAGGATATAAAAAGGAAATCTCAGTGTATTTTTTTAATCTTTAATCGAAAGCGATTAGTGAAACGTTGTGCTTATAAATGTGCAATGTCCAAACAAGAATAACAACTTGCACTTATGTAGTGCCCTTCACACAGGATAAGGTCTCGGAGAGCTGCATAGTGGTGGGGTTCAGACAACATGCAAGGGAGATGGGAGAAAGGGAGGTGACCATAGGCGTAGTCGAAGAAGTTTTAAAGACAGATGGTGGAGGAGGAGGGATTGAGTCAGGAATTTCCAGAGGTTAGGGGAGTTGTTGTTGAAGGCACTATAAACTGAGAGATGGATCTTTTTCCCACTTCACCTCCCCCAGGATAAGTATAAGTAAGGCACAACCTCTCCCCACCACCCATTAACAACCCCAACAGCCCAGATGTGACATTTTCTATTTGTTCCTAAAGCCTGTCTGAGAGAGAGAGAGATTAAAATAACATAACATGTAGGAGCAGGAGTAGGCCATTCGGCCCTTCGAGCCTGCCCCGCCATTCAATCATGGCTGATCTTCTAATCTAACTTCAGCTAATACCATAACCCTGCCTTATTCCCATATCCCTTAATCCTTTTTGCAATAAGAAACATATCTATCTCAGTCTTGAGTATGTTCAAGGATTGAGCGTCAACAGCCCTTTCGTGTAGTGAGTTCCATACATTCACCACCCTTTGAGTGAAGAGGTTCTTCCTCAACTCAGTGAGAAAGGGTTGGCCTCTAATTTTAAGGTTGTGACCCCTGGTTTTAGTTTCTCCAACCAGGGGAAACAATCTCCCACTATCTACTCTATCATGCCCTTTGATGATCTTATAGGTTTCTATAAGATCCCCTCTAATTCTTCTATATTCTAGAGAATATAAGCCCAAATTGGTCAGCCTATCCTCGTAACTCATCCCCTTCATCCTGGGTACTAACCTAGTAAATCTACGCTGCACCCCCTCCAAGGCAAGTACATCCTTCCTTAAACAAGGAGACGAAAACTGCACACAGTATTCCAGGTGTGGTCTCACCAGGGCCCTATACAGTTGCAGCAAGACTTCCCTCCTCTTTTACTCTAATCCTTTCAAAATGAATGCTAACATACCGTTCGCTTTCCTAATTGCTGCTGCACCTGCAGACTAACTTTCTGTGATTGATGTACAACGACACCCAAGTCCCTCTGGACGCTAACGCATTCCAACCTCTCCCCTTCTAAAAAATAACCCGCTCTACTGTTTTTGCTACCTAGGTGGATGACTTTGCACTTCCCTACCTTATACTTCATCTGCCACCTACCTGCCCAATCACCTAACCTATCTATGCCACGCTGCATTTTTTTAATGTCATCCTCTGTGTTGACACTTCCTCCTAGTTTTGTGTCATCCGCCAATTTAGATATATTAACTTCGATGTCCTCATCTAGATCATTAATGTAGATATGAAATAGCTGAGGCCCAAGCACTGATCCTTGTAGCACTTCACTAGTCACATCCCGCCAATCTGAAAAGGACCCGTTTATCCCTACTCTTTGTTTCCTAGCTGTTAACCATTCCCCAATCCACATTAATATGCTCCCCCCAATTCCATGGCCCCCTATCTTTTGAACTAACCTTTTATGCAGCACCTTATCGAATGCCTTCTGGAAGTCCAAATAGACCACATCCACTGATTCACCTTTATCTTGTTTACTCGAAATATCCTCAAAAAATTCTACGAGATTTGTCAAACATGACTTCCCTTTTGTAAAGCCACGTTGACTTGGCCTAATTATATTGTGCTCCCCTAAATACCGCACTACCACATCCTTAATCAGATTGCCAATTTCATACCAATTTCAGGGCAGTGCTGAAGGTGGTCTGGACCCAAAGAAATCTGTGTTTCTGATCACAAAGAATGGATCGTCTATATTAACACTTTAACCCAAACAATATCCTGTGTTTCGATGCTGCCTCTGAGCTGATAAGAATGTTGTTTTCTGTCATTCCAAACAAACAAAAATGCCAGCCTAAACTGTTCAAAAGTTCATTGAGCTATTTGTTCAAGGGGGAAGGGGAAGAGTTCGGATGTATATCCCTGCAATAATCCCTACATTTTATATTTTACCTTATCAGGTCATCAAGACATCTCAAGTGCTTCACAGAATATATTACAAAATGCAGTGACTGTGTGTATTTTGTGGATGATCACAGCAGACAATTTGCGAAAAGCAACTTCCCACATACATCCCTGGAGTGATTCATCAATTTTACTTTGGGATATTGTTGGCCAGGACACTGGGAGAAACTTCCTTTCTTGAAATAATTCAAAAATCATTGAATGAATTGCCATCTTTTCATAACATTGAATGTGATCACTTTGGACCCACTATAAAATGTCATATATATTCCCTTAAAATCGTATTGCTCATTTTCAGTATGTGAATCAAAGCATTTGAGAAACATTATATTGAAGATTGCTGACCTTCTGAAGCCACATCAAGCATCTGCTGTAGGTTTATGCATAGGCAGAATCAAATGGAAAGATAACAGTTTTATCAAAACTTTGTTTAAGTTTTAAATCAAGGAGAAGTATACCCACTTTTCAATTCCCGCAGTAATTCCCAAGCACTTTTCCGAACAGTTAGCTCCTTATTACGAATGGGTTTAAGGCGAGACTTACCCAGTAGGATCAGGATGCAGAGTAATATGGCAATCAGTGCCCCAGTGCTCAAACCCGCTGCGGAGAGATAGGCTTCAGTGCTGCAAGTTCGGACTTTACCCTTAGTGTTACAAGCACACACCCGGATAGTGAGTGTACCAGTGCTGCTCAGCACGGGGATTCCACTGTCAGAAATAACAATCGGTAGCTGATACACCTCCTGGAGATGCCGACTGAATTTTCTCCGCCGTGTCAGAACACTGGCTGTGCTATCTTTAAAAACAAACATTTTAGAGTTTAGGGTTTTGCTCAAACATATAACCTGAAGCAAAATATAAAAAATTAGGTATTACAAGAGATAATGAGTTCCGATTGCTAAAAAAAATCAAGACTTTTTAACGTGATTACCGGCTATAAAAATGTAACGGAAAAGATCATGATTTCTGTAGTGATCAGTATACTTTAGACTGCATTACATTTTCATTCTCTTTACCCGTGATATAAAGCGGTACCTGAAAGAGTAACTTTAAATGCTTGCTAGCTGGAACTTGGTAGAATTTTCTTGTGAGACGTAAACTAATGGAAGCAATGTACCACAACACAAATTCAGTGTGTGCCATTTTATATGATTCTCCGTATTCACTGAATTATGATTTTGTTGATTTGAGCGCTGGTTGCCACAACACAGACATTGGAGGCAGTGCAGATTAGAGCAACAAGGATGATCCTCAGTTTAGAGGAATGAGCTATGAGCAATAATTAGATAAGTTTCGGCTCTTCAATCTGGAAAGGAGAGGGGGACCTTATAGAGGTATAGAAAAATGTAAATGCAAATCAGAAAGTAAATTTATAGTGATTCTTTTGATGTAATGAGAAGACGCAAGAACTATTTATTTACCCTGCAGGCAATTAAAGACCAGAACAGGATTCCAGGATAATGGTTGAGGACGTGATTCTGAACGTATTTTTAAAAAAAAACAGCTTGATGCTTAAATGGGGGGATAGTATCTTGAAGGATGAGATCTTCTGGACAAGATCCCTTGTGATCTTCAAAAACTGGTGTTTGAGTCACCAATTGGATTCGCTCAATTAATCAATTAATTAATAGGCATCAGAATGGAGGTTTTCATCTCATTAATTAGAGTCATATTCAAGGTCCAAAAAGGTTAAAAGATAGTGTTCTAAACAACTGTTGGTTCGATTGAGACAGAAATATTTATTTTAAATTACTGAAACAGTTGGTTTAAAGTTTGTAGGGAATAAGAACTATTTGCATGGGTCAGGATTATTGTAGGTAAAAATATTCTGCTGGAATATAATTGTTTGCAAATTAAGATGATGTACTTTTGTTTCTAAAAATTAAAATCTTTACTAACAGAAAGGATTTACTGAAATAAATGTACATTACATTGGGCTTACTCATGTTATATGCTGGATATATACATTTATATATCCTTGCCATAGCAATGCAGTTAGAGAGCATGGGACCATTGAAGATTGCTCCCTCATCATCCATCAATTAGGGACGTGTATTTTACACAAAAAGGCATGTTGCATTATTTATCATAAAGAGATAAAATATAATAATAATAATCCTTGCATTTGATATAGCGCTTTTCACGTCGGGAGGACGTCCCAAAGCGCTTCACAGAGTGAATTGACTGTATATTTGTGGGCGAACGCGGCAGCCAATTGCGCACAGCAATGTCCCACAAACAGTCGTAGATTGAAAATGACCAATTTATTATTGTTTTTGGTGTTGGAGGGATTATTATTAGGCGTGTGGAGTAAGGAAACTTGCCCAAGGTTTCGCCCTGCCTGGAATTGAACTCAGGTCACTCGCTTGCAAAGCGAGTGCTCTAACCACTGAGCTACAGGACTCCACAATGTTATAATGTTATACAGCATCCAATACTCCCTCCTCTCTTAAAAAAACAGAAAGCAGATTAAAATAAAATATGTAAAATCCCATAGCTGGGTGACTGAGCAGCATGTTGGCAAACTGTTAAAGCACTACTGTTAAGTGATTGATCACTTCCCAACTACGTAGCTAGGTGGGATATTTTGTATCACTAGAGCATCTCTCTGTAGTGACAGAGAAAGAAAAAGTGTCAATGCTTTTCCTTGCTCAACAAGCCTGCTTTCTGTTTGTTGAACTTGGCCATTGGATCCAATGTTTCGTACAATACATATATATTGTACGAAACATTGGATGTGGAGTCCTGTAGTTCAGTGGTTAGAGCACTCGCTTTGCAAGTGAGAGACCTGAGTTCAATTCCAGGCAGGGCGAAGCCTTGGGCAAGTTTCCTTACTCCACACAGAGCCTAATAATAATCCGTCCAAAACCAAAAACAATAATAAATTGGTCATTTCCAATCTACAACTGTTTGTGGGACATTGCTGTGCGCAATTGGCTGCCGCGATCGCCCAAAATTATACAGTCAATTCACTTTACAGTGTGTTCTGTGAAGCGCTTTGGGACTCCCGACGTGAAAAGCGCTTTATCAAATTCAACGATTATTATTATTATTATTATATATATATATTATGGTAGTTTGGGACATATGTGCATGCAACCACCAGGAAGATGGAAGGCGAGCTCGATGGACCTTGATCTTTTTTCGTCTAGCATTTCTTATGTTCTTCCCACTAGAAATCCACCTCACTGTTACACGGTGCCTCTTCGTTGATGGCATTGATGAGTGATTCTTGAGAACTCGCCTTTCTTATTCACTCCTCGGGCCGTGTGGGCTCCCTGCGGGCAGCAAGGCATGGCTGCTGGGAGGGCCTGAGCCTTCTTGGCTGTGGTGTAGATTGGTGCTGTTGTGCAGGAACTCACTGGAGTCGTACAGACTGAGACAAAGTGCTTGGACACTTAACTCCTCACCGTACAAACAGTATTGCAAGTTACTGTGAGCCTGCCTTTGGCTGAGAGATGATTGTAAAGATTTTCAGATACATCAAAGCTCAGCGAGTCCTGCCTTCTCTGGGAGTGTTCACCTCACCAGTGGCTTATTCACAGGACCAGCTCCGCCCTCTGTAAAGTGATCTCCTCTACCCATGGGCACTACACATTGCCCATCAATAATATTTAGCGCCATAAAAGGCTGTCCTGAAATATAATTCCTGGTTGTGACTTTCCGGTTATTTGGGGTTATTTATATCAAAGCCCCAGTTACTGAAAGATTGGCATAACTGCTTTTCAGTCTGTCATCCTCATGGAGAGCATAAGCACCAAAAAGGCTGAGTGGACTGAATGGCCTGTTTCCATGCTGTACATTTATGTGAAATATATCAACAGGAAAGATGCATTTCACCTACAGAACATACAGTCACAACACTTTACAGTGAATCCTGTGAAGCACTTTGAGATATCCTCCCAACATGAAACATGTATTATCAAATGTCAAGATTATTTTTATTATTTTATATTATTAATGTTGGGAGCTAAAATTTAAATAAAGCATAAAGCCCTCCTGAGACATTTTCCTATAAAGACACTATATATATGCAAGCTGATTTTGTTGGCGTAAATAATGAAAAAATACTTAACATGTTAAATTAACAGAAAGCACAATATGAACTTTCTTAGATAGGAACACAACTCCATTGAGCGTTGGCTACAAAATTCATTTTGTGTTGTATTTCATATTGTGTTTTCAATCTACCTAACAGTGGAAAAATAACATAACATGACTCTCAAAAGTTTTTAACAGGAAAGCAATTCCCTAAAACTGTACAAAATGTGTTCAGTATTAACATTAAATCACTTGCAAGTTAATTAATTGGCATATCCAAATTTGTTGTTTAAAATCAGAATTCTGTTGATTAATGAATCTATACATTCAGAAATTAGTTCTGAGAGTTATTTGTAATTTCCAAATCAATTAGTATATTTAAAGACATATTCTTAATTTATATATGTTAATTAATGTCTAATTAACAGACATAATATATTTATAAATTCAAGTTAGCTGATGAATTGATTTAAACTTCAGAGCTGTGAATTTCATTTACTTTAACCTACATTTACTTCAACTCTCAATTTATTTTGATTTTTTTCCACCATTTTCCTTCACTCTCCTTCTCTATCGCAATTTTTAAATTCACTGCGCATGGTGCCGTTTCTGCCAACCCCCCAGCCAACAATTTATTGTTCATGTGTGACCCTTTATCCTGAGTGCTGCTGGCAAGCACTTTGAATGTGAGAAACTTTGAGAGCTGAGTCCCAGTTCTGATATTACCTCCAGGCAGCATTGCTGAACCGCCATCAGGAGTGGGAGCCCTTGCTGATTTCCCCCTCCCCAGCCTGGGTCACTGAGGCCAATCATACTTTGTAAACTGTCAGTCACTGCTGTAAGAAGTAACCTTGCAATCGATTACAACAGCATGTCGGGGCACGGATGGCTACCAAATGACTGCTACAGATGCTACAGAGTCAGCACCTGAGTAAGTTATATTGGTCTTAAAATATCAATGAACTCAATGCACGCAGAAACAGTGCAAAGCAGTAATTGTTAGTTACTGAACCCGCTAACCTTCTGACCCAGTTGTTAGAGTGCTTTCAACTGAGGAAAGCTGGCACCTAATGCATTTCTTACAAGAGAAGATATTGTTTTATTGTTGTTAATTTTTAATTGACTAGTTGTATGTATTAACCTTATTAGAGTGTAAGTATGATTATTGAACAATAAAGATACTCATCTACAATGTTTTTAAACCCCAGGCTTGAAACGGATTGCAGTGAGGGCAGGTTTTGAACTAGTTTTTGAAGAGATTGGTGGATGGAAAGGGAAAGGAACTGGTTCCCTTGAAACATGTCAGCCCCAGAATTGTCTCAGACTACCCTCTCCCCTTTGTTCAATGAGGGCAGCAAAGAAGGCCAAAGGCACCAAAAAGCAGATGTAAAAAAGAAATATATCTTACATGTTTACAAAATATCCTTATGTGCACATTCTTGTGGTGGATCCTCTGCTGAAAATGCTGGAGTGTCTGTAAATTGTCTTACCTTCATTGTCCCGTACTGTAAAGTTTGGGTTTGGAGGAAACTCCGTAGCTAGAGAGAAATGAAACCTGGGTCCATTTGCAAAGTCATCCTCATCGATAGCCATCACTCTTTGAATCACCTGAAATAAGAAACACAATGGTAATCAGAGTGATGTTTTCATCTGTATAATAACAGACATTACATTACATTACAACAAAACCATCTTTATTCAGGATTTGATGTAAAAATGACCCAGTGACTAAATTGCCATGAGACCCAATAGGAGTCACAACAACAAAGCAACAGAAGCACTCTATATCACTCTCGATGAAATGCATAACTGCATGAACTGCACTCCACAGAATGTAATTCTAGGGCAGAGTTCCCAGGGATCATTGTAAATTAATTCCAGTTATTAGAAGGAGTTGCTATATACAATATATTATTTGAGAATTACTGCAATTTAGACCTTAGATATTTTTTAACATGTAAAGTAAACAAGTGTTGCATTAGCATAAATATTTTATTGTATATTGTCTGCAACATAAAGCAAGACAAAAGGTTATGGATTATAAATATGGATTATCCTTTTATTTGTTAAACTTCCTATAACATAAAAATAACTCAAAACACTTCACAGGTAATTGCTGTGAAGAGAAGTGACTTGTGTATTTGTACATAAAAACACAGGATAATAATAAATAATAATAATAATCCTGGGATTTGATATAGTGCTTTTAAAGTCTCAAACTCCTTGACAGGTTTTACTGTTATGTATATTGACTGTATATTCTGTAATTGATGCTTTACTTTCTCTTTTGATTCACTATTTTGTAAGCTTGTGAATATTGCAAATGGAAATGTGAGTTGCATACTTGTCCAGGTTTGGCATTCTCACAAACAACTGTGTCATAATCCTTGGCAAGCTCCGGTTTGTTGTCATTAACATCAAGAACTCGAATAGCAACTGGAACTTGGGTGAGCTGAGTTGGATTGTCTGAAAAATACAAAGGTCATTACAAAACAAGCCTCTATTTTTGTCTCCAATCTTCTGCCTTCTCAACTCATCCGCTACAAATCTCACCAGGTTTAGCATTGATAAGTCAAAAATAATTTCTAAGTAAGGTGCCAGAAAAAAATATTAAGTTTCAATGTGTAGAAAAGTGTCATCATTTAATTGTTATTTTTATTTTCTATTTAGCAGCAAACAAAAGTGTGTTGATTTAATTTTCCACTGCATCAGAGAGATAATAACCCTTACATTTGATATTGTGATTTATTATGCTGTTGAGATGCCTCGAAGTGCTTCACAGGAATTATCTTAAAGTAGTGCCTATTTTTGTAGGTGAATGTGGTAACACATTACACACAGCAATGTCTTACACAAGCCATGAAATAAATGACCAATTCTTTTTGGGGGACTGCTAGCCAGGAGAATAATCTTTAATCATTTTATCAATCTTTTAGAGTATTTGAGGGAGTTGGCATGTTGCGAAATGGAAATGTTCTCTGCTTTAGACATAGATGTTAATACCATGGAATCCCAGGTGAAGTGCAGCATAGCTCAAAAATAAACAATGATCTTTACATTTGATATTAAACATGCTCAAGTGCTTCACAGTAATTACCATTAACTGAATGACTGTATTTGTGGGTAAGCACGGTAGCCAAATTGTACTCTAACAGCCAGGAGGTGAATGAGCACTTTAACTGGAAATTGTACCTGGACAACCTCCCTTCTTGAGTATCCAATGGACATATATTTAGTGATTTTCGAATAAACGAATGAACGAACAAACAATCGAACATTTGTATAGCGCCTTTCACTTCGGGAGGATGTCCCAAGGCGCTGGATAATCAGTGTTTTGAACCCGAGCTGGCGGTCGGGATCGGAGAGGGTGGAGGACAGGGGGGTAAGCAGGGTGACCGAAGCACGGTCGAAGAGGAGGGTCTTCAGATGGGTCTTGAAGGAGGCGACGGAGGGGGTGAGGCGGAGGGATTGTGGGATGGAGTTCCAAAAGGTGGAGGCAGAAGGCCCGTCCGCCGATGGTGGGATGGGTGAGGCGGGGGACATGAAGTAGGCTGGAGCCCTCTGAGCGGAGGGTGTGGGCAGATTGGTAGGGAGTTAAGAGATAGCAGAGGTAGGAGGGAGCAAGGACATGGAGGGCTTTGAAGGTGAGGACCAGGATCTTGAACTCTATCCTCTGTGGGATGGAAAGCCAGTGAAATCAGCGGGAATGGGGATGATAGGGTCGCGGATCCTGGTGCAGGAGAGTACATTGGCTGCAGGGTTCTAGATGATCTGCACCCAACTGAGGGAGGAGTTGGGGAGGCCGATAAGTAGGGAGCTTGTGTAGTCAAGTCTGGATGTTATGAATGCGTGTGTGTCTCGGGGGCCTGCGGTATGAGACAGTGGCGGAGCCGGGTGGTGTTATTGAGGTGGGGGAAGGCGGAGTGGGTCTTGGCATGAATTTGTGGTTCAAAGGATAGTTCAGGGTCAAACAAGAGATGCCAAGGTTTCGGACTGGCTCACTAAGGTGGAGTGTGCATCCTCGGATGGTGATGCTGTCCGTGCCTGAGATGTGGAGGCGCTGACGGGAGACAATCAGGAGGGCCTCGGTCTTGTTGACTTTCAACTGTTAGTTCTCATCCAGGACTTGACATCTGGCAGACATTCTGTCAGGACAGCAGTGGTCCTGGAGTCAAGGGTGGAGGCAGAGAGGTAGAGTTGGGTGTGATCTGTATACATGTGGAAGTTGACCCCATTTCTGCGGGTGATGTCACTAAGAAGGAGCGTAAGATATTGAAGAGGAGAGGGCCAAGGACAAAGCCCGGAGGGACCCTGCACAAGACGATGCTGGGACTAGAGGAGAAGTCGTTGTGGAGATGAAATGGAGACAGTGTGAGAGGTAGGATCTGAACCAGTCAAGGACAGAACCATAAAGTTTTTAGGTGAGAGGAGAGGTGGTGGAAGAGGCAGCAGAGAGTTCAAGGAGGACAAGGAGGCAGATGAACAAAGGGGCATTTGTAACTTTTCCCAAAGCTGTTTCTGTGCCGTGGGCGACACAGAAACCTGATTTGAGGGATTTGTGGGAGAGGAAGAAGTGAAGCTAGGAAGCAACAACTCGTTTCAAGACCTTGGTAAGGAAAGGGAGGTTGGAGATGTGGCATTGGTTTGAGAGCAGGGTTTTTAAGAATAGGAGGGGTCCAAGCAGGGTTTTTTAAGAATAGGAGTGATGATGGACGTTTTTAGAGGGTGGTAACTGTGCCAGTGGACAGCAAGAGGATTATGATGTCTGTGAGTAGCAGGGCAAGGATGCAGAGCCGGGAGGTAAGGAGGGTGGTAAGGATGGGTTTGAGGGAGCAGGTGCTCAGTTTCATGTGGGTTATGGTGATGGTGAGAGAGGAGGGGGAGACAGGTTCGTAGGTGTAGATGGAGGGATGGGTAGGGGCTGGGGTGTGACGGGGCGATGGGGAGGGGATAGTAGTAGCAAGGGCAGATGCAGCTGAGTGGATCCCCTCAACTTTGTTTCGAGGAAGTCCAGCATCACCTTGCAGTTGGTGTTGGAGGAGAGGATGGGCGAGGCATGAGAGGGTGGGCGGAGGAGCTGATTGGTGATGGAGAAGAGTAGTCTAGGGTGGTCCTTGGCTTCCAAGATTCTCTTGGAGTAGAAGGATGGAGGCGAGGATGGAGCTGCAAGTTTTAATCTGGAGGACATCTAAAACATGTTTTTGAATAGTGTCATGGGTTTTTTAGTGTTCAACTGCAAAAGTAAGACTGCAAGGGAAATAGTCCACCATAAAGACACTACAGTGTCCAAGCCAATTGATCAAGATTAATAAGTTTACTAAAGTTAAGAAAACTTTTTACTCTCATACTTACCAAGCTCTGATGCAATGACTGAGATGTTGTGCCAAGGCATACTTTCTCTGTCTAGTTGCTTTGCAGTCTTAATAGCTCCACTGTTGGCATCTATATTGAAATACCTCTCTGTGGATTCACTGCGCTCAATGAAATATCTAAATGAAGGAAGATATTGTTTCAAATTTACTTGAAGATTCAAAGATACAAGACACAAAATAACAAAGTGTACAAGAAAAGAATGATAAATCTTGCTTGAATTATGTAGATTAAGTCTAAATGATTTATTGCTTTGTCTGCCATTCTACTTTCTCATTTAAAACAAGGTCTATAATTTCTTTCATTTAAGACAGATTTGCAGCTATACTAAAGAACATAGCCAGAAACTTAACTGCAACTAGTAACAAAACAGAAAGATCAGGAAATAAAATCTTCAGTAATTCCATAAATTTAGAAAGGAATTAGACATTTGAAGAATTTACATAGAATGTACACCACACTTTCAGCCCAGCTAATCTGTGCCAGTGTTTATAACCTCTACCATTGCAACCGTTGAACAGTCTGGGGAGCACGCAGGAAGTGGAATAGTTAAGTTGGCTCATGTGGAGAAACACATCAGCACAGACTTCATGCCCAAATGGCCCATTTTTGTAAAGTAACATTCTAAGATTCTCCATGAAGAGGTGATCTAATCGGGCAAGAAGGAGAGATTGATGTGTGCCAAAAGCATGGCCTGAAAATTTCACAGTTCGACAATTACTCAGATAGCTTTCCCAAATCTGGTGTAAAACAAAGCAACATCAACTTGCGAGGACAATCTGTGTGTGTTTCTCCTCCTGACATCATTCGTCACACTTCAAAATACAGTCGTATGCATTCATGTCATATTTTATGGCAGATACAATCAGCCAGCTGATTGACCCATGGATTTCTCAGACAGTGTGTAATAGAGAAACATGTGGTGGACAAAGATGTAAAATAAATAACATGTACAATGTATTCCAGCTTTGTATTAATGACCACCACGACAGCATATTAACCATAACTACTGTATTCGATTTTCAGTTGAATACCAGATATAATGATCCATTCATTTGATATAGTCCATTATCACATCATCAAAACATCTCTAATTACTTTTAGATTTGATTGCATGCTGACTGTATATTTGTAGGCAAATGTGGTAATTAATTTGCAAACAGCAATGTTTTGCGAACAGTCATGAAGTGAATGATCAATTTTATCTGGGGGATTGTTGACTAAACCAATTGAGACATACTAATTCAAATTAAAGCTTATTGAATGAAGTTAACCACCTGTAGCGGTCTCGGTAGTACAGTTCCTGAGCTAGGAGGGTCCGCAGTATTCTACAGCACTGCTGATGACAGACCAGCCCTCCTGGCTCATTGGTAGGACTTGAAGGGCAGACTGGTGGTCACAGGGAATGAGGATTTTTCCCACTTGGATACTATTAACCCTGCAAACCAAAGCAGGAAGTTTTTGTTGGCTTCCTGCAAGCTGTGTAGGCCACCTTGCTAACCAAAAGAAATCACACATACAATATATATCCAATTCTTTTTCCTTATATCTGTGTGATGGTTTCTTTAAAACTTCTGCCATCAGAAGTCTAGAGGACTAATTTAAGGAACAACTGTTCCACAGCCCCCCGAGAGTTTGGACACTGTCTTGGGAGTTGGAGGCAGGCTAAAGATGTAGACAAGGGTTTAAATGATATAACTCATCTGGAGCTACTAAACTATAGATTCTCTGATCCATTGAGCCTCCACTTGCCTTGCACATTTAATTTTCTTGTTTTTCAGTTTGCTGAGAATGTAGGAAAATCTGTCCAATGAAATTTTGGAAGGCAAAATACAACTTTCAAACAGCACAGATATAATGAAATTCAGTGTGGATGACATTTGTCTTGTTGCATTACACTTTCATTGTGATAATTAGCACAGTGTGTTCTTTTTGTCAGCTATCACAAGCAACACTTCATGAAAGTTGAAGATTTTACTCTGATGCCTTCAAACTACAACTCCACAGCGATCAGCTTCCACTATCATTTTACTGATTCTGGCTCAACAATGAAATGAAAGGAAAAGGAAAGATGAAGGTGTTAGAACATTACATGGTAAATTCTGAACTCTATCCTTTGAAGACTGCTGTGATCAATGTTTAAAATTGTCACTGTGGCTTTGTTTTGAAGACAAAACAGCTATATTTGGCGATTGAATTCAACAGTTGCCCATCTTAGGCAATTCGCCCAAAAGAAAGAAGTCACTTGATATGGTTTGATAGCTATTTAGTTATGTAACACTGACTGCAAGCCGTTAAGGAAAGGTGCTATTTTATCAATATTTGCCAGGTCCTGTAATGATCTAAAATATATGCCTCCATTCCATCATATATTTGGCCTCAGTGCTATGGTCAGATTATCAGCAAATCGGGCTAAACTGTGGCTTTGACCTACACCGTATTCCCAACCAAAGCTGCAGTAATATAAACAAGAGTGTAATAGTAGGTAACTTTGCTGTTTTAGAACATAGGTTTCTAAGCACAAATCAATCCACAACTTTTTGGGGACACTGCTGTGAGCACTTGGCTGCTGTGTTTTTCCCACAAAATATATAGTCAATTCACTTTACAATATATTCTGTGAAGCGCTTTGAGACACCCCGAAGATGTTATAAGGTGCTATATCAAATGCAAGGATTATTATTTATTATCATCAATTAGATTTTATCTGAAAATGTGATCCAACTGAAATTAATTTGTCCATAGCACAGGAAATATGTGGAGTTATAACACTGGAACTGCTTTGCATCTATGTCATGTTACTGAGAAGAACCATTTTTGAGCAAAGACCAAATAATAATAATAATTCTTGTTGAGTGTTGTTGATAATAATTCTTGTGTTTGATACAGTGCCTTATAATGTCTTTAAGATGTCTCAAAATGTTTCACAGAATATACTGTAAAGTGAATTAACTGTATATTATGTAGGTGAAATGAGGCAGCTAATTGTACACAGTGTCCCACAAACAGTTGTGGATTGAAGTGATAAATTTTTTTTGAAGAAATTATTTCCTCGGAAAAGCAATCCACCAATCGACTAACAACTGGGTTCCTACTTACTGCTCGGTAAACAGAGGCGAGTAAGGAAACTTGCTCAACATTTTGCTCTGCCAGGAATCGAACCCAGATCTCCGGCTTGCGAGGCAAGTGTTCTAACCTCTGAGCTACAGGATTCCACATTGATTTGCAAATTCACCCATTTTATTGCAGATATTGAACTTTGGCAAAAGCTCAAGGAGAGTGAGCACAAGCACCAAACTCTGGCTTGAATCAGCATTCCTCAAATCTAAAACCTAATTTCAATTTTGTTTTTTGCAGTGACTTACTTGGTCCAATTTTTATATCAAATATACACAAAAAGCACCACAATAAAATAGACATAACACTGTCTGCATACCTCATTCTCGTGGGCTCAATGGTTGGAATTAGCAATTCAGTGTCAAGCTATGCACCATATTACAGCTGTCAATTCAATAGGATGAAGCTGTTGCAAACATATTTCACTCGATCTGTCTGAGCACAATTCAAACCGACAGCCCAGAGTTAGAGGGAGGTGTGCAAATTCACTGAAACACTCATTCTTCATTTATACGCCTTTGCTTTATATTGAAGTCAAAAGACAAATTGACGGGCATATGCAATTGATGATGTAAAGTTACCATTGCATCACATTCTTCATTTTCAAACCCAGCAAAATGTCTTCTGGTCAGTTTATCAAGTACCATGGCCTTTTAACTTAATGTGAAAAAGAAAACTAATTTTCAGTGAAAGCTGGAGCTAAATTATTCACAGCTTTTTTTTCAAAACCCCTTGAGTGTTTAAATATCAAAACTAGTGAGAGTCGTTTCTGAGCAGAAAAAATTACAGCCATTACTCCTGCCACTAGATTACATATTGTATTGATTTCATGACTGGAGGACTATTTTCTCTTGTGGAGTCTGGACATGTTTGAATTTAAGACAAATCAATGCCTCAGCCTGGGCTGTTTTTCCTTAATTCACAGATAACATCAGCTATTTCTGCAATTGTCAGTTGAATTCTGGTCAAGGCAACATTGGTCTTTCAAGCAGAAGCTTAGAATGATATTTATCACCAATAAATTGGAAATTAATTACATGTTTACACCCCTTTAGTAGCATCTGCACAGGATGTTAGTTACATTATCAGCACATTTTAAGCCATAGGCTTGTGATATTCTGTCTCTCTCATATGCTGCCTATTTTAAAAACAAAAATATATGAAAATAAATTCCATCTGGGTCTAGATTTACTCTATTTATATAGCATTCAGAACATCCACAATTTATTAAATTATTAATACAGCCTTGCTTTTGAAGCTTTTTTTTCTATATGTTTAAGAACTACAGGAAACCAACTTCAAAGCTGAAATCAAATTCAACATTTTAATCTTTGGATTTTGCCAAATTTTGGAAACTGAAATCTACATAAATAGAGTGTATCTAGTCACAGGTAGAATTTTGTGCCCAATAAATTCTACATACAATTCTTCCCACTGAATTCTCCCTCCTCTTTCCCTTTTCAATCAACATTATCTTGATCATTGTATGTCTGATCTCTAAGTTCCAGGTATAGGGCATTGTCCTAAAGGTATCCAAGGAACCACATTCTGATGAAACCCAAACTTATTGCAACAGTGTCTATATTTTCGTGTAACCCCCTCTGCTCTTCTGGAACAGAGCATTCCACACTTCCACAACCCACTGGGTAAGTAAACAATAAATAATTCTCACATTTGATATGATGCATTCTACGTCGGAAGGGCAGCTCAAAGCACCTCACCGGATGTATTATAAAATGTAGCGACTGCGTATTTTGCAGGCAAAATGCATCCTAACCTCAGTTCTAACTTTCTTAATTCTAATTTTATAATCGAACCCTCCACCAGAGAGAAGAGTCATCCACTATTTGAAGTGTCAATTTAGACCCTTTAACCTGTCAATTCCTTTCATTATTTTGAATTCCTCAATCAAATCACCCTTGAATGTCCTCTGTTCTTCGGAATATAATCATGTTATCCTCTCTTCTAAACCGTTCACCCAGGCATTAATCTAGTAAACTGGACAACTTCTAAGCCTACTATGTCTTCCTAAGATTGGGTGCCCAAAGTTGCACACAGTCCTCCAAATGTGTCTACCCAGCACTCCATATAACTGGAGCAGTAACTTCTTAATTTTATATCCTAGTACTCTTGTAATAAATAATAATTGAGTTAATCTTCTCCCATACTCATTGGCTTGCACATACCTCATTAGGTTTCATATTGTTAAACAAATTAAATTTTGCCCCCAAATATTCACTAATGCATTTATTCCCATGTTTTGTGTGAGAAAGTACCAGAATACAAAACAGTTATTCAGGCCATTGTAATAAGCCTCTGTTGAGAAAAAAAATTAAATCCCCGTTTATTAAATAAATCTTTTCTTGAAGTATCTGAACCTTGCTTATAGTCAAACATGCAATTTCACTAAGTGGAGTTTAATTGCTAATTGTGACTTCCAGTTTGCAACTATTGGTTTCAGGGATTGCTGGGAGATCCACAATTGGGGAATTACAAATCCCAAGAAAGCAAATTATCCAAAAGAAGGCAGGCTTTTGATTTTCTCTGACCCTACCCCTCCCCTCGCTCCCTCTGCTTGTCTAATTGAGGCTTGTTGCAGATCCACTGCCCTATCTGTAGCACCAATGGTGGCCATGCTTTCAGATTCTGTGCCACTATCCTCTACAAGTCCTTCCTTCTACTTTTCTGTCATGACCTTCTCTATCTGTCTTCAAATCCACCACAAAACCAAACTCTCTGACTGTGCCTATGGTCATCTCCCCTTTCTCCCTCTCCCTTGCTCAGTGTCTGACCCATCACTGTAAAGCTTTTCAAAACATTCTACTACAGAAAAGGTGCTGTATACATCCAATTGTTTTTGTTATTGCTGTTCACTTTGCCTGCTTACTATTCAGTTAGATCATTTTCATGTGTAACTGTGAGACTCTCAGTCCAAAATTCATAAACCAGCAGTCATGATTACAGAGTCTGGCTTGCAAAATCATACTTTTATTCCCACAGAAGCTTCTGCCCTACATTTTGATTTAAATAGGTGGATTATCAAAATCAATCATCCCAAACACAGTACTTTCACTTTGCAGTCATTGGTCTTAGAGGGAAGGAGTCAAAGGGAATTTAAATTTTGTGGCAAAAATTACTTTCACGTAATCCTGGCTGTAGCTCAGGGAAAGTGTACAACAACAATATTAACAAAATGACATTTGTATATCATCTTTCACGTCAGGAGAACATCCCAAGCCATCTCTGTTACACGTTTATCTATTAGAAAGTGCAATAGAGGTTTAATACAGTGTACATTCCTCTCAATCAACAACTAGTTGCATTTTCTTTTTCCTTTATTCCACCAGCTCATGGGCACTGTTTCCATTACATCCACAGCACCTGAGAGCAGGACATTCTGGGTCATTGATATCTCAAGGAACATCGCTGCTAATGTCAGTCACACTGTGATCAGAGGAACCGTTCAAACTGGGTCAATCAGGTGATTGGTTTCTAGCTCCATTAAGAAGTTCTGTCAATAAACAAAGTGACTCAACTACCAGGTACAGTGGGACCTAGACACGTACAAACTTTCAGCCAGGGCCTATCATTCTTTCATAGATGCAAACCTTCAACCTTGAAGCAGCATAATTTCGGTCCAATTGTTTTTGCGTAATATTTTCGCCTATTATTTTGCCTATTATTTCAATGCTATTATTACATTACACCTTCCATGGACAAAGAAAACACACAGACAAAGCGTTGATCACCATAATATTTTATGAATACGTTTAGCTAAACGTTGGTACAGTTTAATAATAATAAAAAAAATCCTTTCATTTGGTATCCCTTCTTTCATGCAAGGGGGACATATCAAAATGCTTCACAGAATATATTGTGAAGTGCAGTGACTGTGTTTTGTAGATGCACATTAGGATAATTCTCAGATCAATCCATAAAACCTTAGGGTTAATGCAATAATAATAAACTGAATTGGATTTTGAAATACATCACCATCAATGCTTATAATGGTGATGCAGCTCTCTTGTCTCCTTCAAGACCCTTTTCAAAACCTTCCTCTTTGACTGCACCTTCGGTCACACTCCTGCTCACACCTTCCCTGCTCCCATCCATCCTGATCCCAATCCCCAGCTCAGATACACATCATTGACTGTCCAGCACTTTGGAACGTCTTCCTGGCCTGAAAGGTACTGCACAAATGTAATTTGTTGTTGTTTTACTTAAATGCCTTGAGCCCCTATTTCAGAAGCAGCAAAAACCTACCTGATGAGGCTGTTGGCACTGTCAGGATCCTCAGCCATCACAGCTCCAATTACAGTTCCCAGTCTAGCATTTTCATAAACGTCCATTATATAAAATGGCATGGCAAACACGGGAGGTTCGTCCACATCTCCGACAATAATTTTGAGGGTTGCCGTGTCCTTGAAGGGGCCCAGGCTCCAAAAGCGGGGTTCAATATGAGTGTTTGCTCCTTCTATTTTTACAGTGTACACTTTCTTCTTTTCATAGTTCAGTGGCTAGATGGTGTGAACAGAACACATGGACAATTTACGTGTTAACATCCCATTAGGTTTAATATAACATAAAGCCACACGAAAACATGCATTTCAAGTTCAGAATATGATGCCTTTACCTTCTTTAGAATAATAACTCCTTCCCTAGTGTCTTTGTCAGTAGAGATGGTGAAAACTCCTACACCATCTCCATCAATGATGCTGTATTTCATGTCTGCATTCAATCCAATGTCAGAATCAGTTGCCTTAATCTTACCTACAGCTGTGCCAACTGCAGACGACTCAGGGACATATAACTGGTAGTGCTCTGTGAATAGGTGGGAGGAAACATAATTGTCAGTTGGAGGCATGTGTCATCATAACATTGTATAATGTGCACAATGGACATATTAGAACAGTTATCTGCAGGGAAAACTCAAAGGCTGAGAAAGATTTCTTAAATTACACCATTTATGAGAAAGTTTGGTCACTTTCTGAATGATTTACTTCATTATCTTCATAGTATTGGTGTGTTCACATAAATACATAAAATCACTGTGTCCAAGGTGAGCCCCATTGTCACCCTACTTGTTGGGCAAAGTAGCCCTACCCCTGCCATACACCACTGAAAGACAGGGAAAAGGGCCTAAACGTCCAATGAATATAGCAGAATGTTCCCCTTCACAAGATGTTGTACCAGGAACAACAGCAAAATTAGACAGTTTGGTCAAAAGCATATTCAGTTCTGAAACCAACTTAAATGAGATCACTTTTGAGTATATTAGGCTATTTCTGACAGAATATTTAGCAGGATTTTGCTAAAAATAATGGTTGAAGGTTGCTGGAAGGATTCCGAATCCTGAATCATTTACGTTGGTTTGTTACCTAACTAAGGGCATCTCTTTGTATCTGCAAATAATCAGTGATTCTCAACACAGAATTGTTTTCTGCTATGAAAATATGAAGGGGTAAAATGTCCCAAGATTCCTGTTAAAACTATTTGACTCCAACAACATGGACTGAATATATGGGTGTTGGTGTAAAGGATTGTCATCTTGTACCAAAACAATACTGTGGCTGTTCACAGGAATCAATGATTTTCATAGACGTTATAGATTTTAAACAACAACAAATGATACCTAGCTTCTTATTTAGCTGTCTATCAGGGGCTGTCACACCAGGAAATAAGTGGCTGCAGAAATAAAGCAATCATTCGTGGAACCTACAATGTTTTTCCAATATGATACTATGGTTAGTTAGAGAATTTTAGAAAATGCAATATATTGAGTGAAAGATTAATACGTACTTTGTGGGAATCTGGGCGGATTGTCATTGACATCAGTTAGCGTTACATTAATAGACGTAGACCCTGACAGTCCTCCTATCTGTCCGGCCATATCTTTGGCTTGAATAACAACAGAATATTGTTCCCTTGCTTCTCTGTCCATATTGGGTAAGGCCGTTCTGATGATTCCTGTAAGACATTGGAAAAAAAATCAATACTTCAGTGTTCACAGTATAATAACAACAAAAACTAATATAGCACCCTCCACGCTGGATAGTGTCTCAGCGTGCTTAACAGTAGCGGAGCCTGATCTCCATGCAGGGGGGGAGGTTACTGTAAGCACGGTCAAAGAGGAAAGTTTTCAGACAGGATTTGAAAAGGGGCAGAGAGGGGGCAAGGCGGAGGGATTGAGGGAGAGTGTTTCAGAGTTTTGGGACAAAGTGGCTGAAAGCGCGACCTCCGATGTGGGTTGGAGGATGTGAGGGAAGAGCTAGTCGAGTAGAGGTGCTGGGTGGTGGATTAGGGAGTGAGGAGGTCAGGGAGGTAGGGAGGTGCCAAAGAGTGAAGGGATTTGAACACGAATGTGAGGATTTTGAAGTCAATCCATTCACTGATGGGGAACCAGTGGAGCCTGGCCAGAACTGGTGAGATGTGGGTACGGAGTTTGGTCCGGGTCAGTATGCAGACCTTTAACTTTCCTCCATGATGAACAAACAATACAGTTGATAGGCCACCTGAGCAAAAACACTCTGAATTCGGCATTTTAGAGACATCTGAGGAAGTAAACAGTGAAGGAAGAACCTCTTTACACACACACACACGCACATGGACAGATGGGCAAGTGAGTGAGTGGGGGGATGGGTGGATGGATAATAATAATTCACGAGAAGGCTCCATGATCTGAGAAAAACATTTGTGAGGATCAGCAAAGTCTTGAATTGGGATGTGGCGAATACGTACTTTGTCCTTTACCAGATAATAATACCTCAAAAATAATAAAAACAGATAAAAGTAATAAAGATAAAAATTAATTAGCAATTATTAAACAAGCAAAACATTGGCATGTTTTATTTTAAAGAACCAGGGAAAACCAGTTTCCACACTAAGACTGAATTTAAGAACTTTCCACAGTTCTTTGCAATCTTTAAGTTTAAGGTAAAATGATCTAACAGAGTAAGACTGGGTGGTATTTCAGGTCTGAGATGCCACAATAGGAGATGTAATGAAGATGATGGGACAAGTCAAAATGGAACCATGAAAGTAAACAATAGGGAAAAGGAGCTGGAGGAGAATGGAATGGTGAACAGGGTCAGTGGCAGCAAAGAGGTTGAGGAGGACAAGGAGGGGCAGTGAGCTTCAGTCTCAGTTTGGCAGAATATCCTTGATGGTTATTGAACATCAAGGTAATGCTATAAAGCGCATTACTGTCAAGATTTTATTTCACATACTGTTTCATCTGGGACACTTTTGATGTTTCTTTTTTGTGGCAACAGATGGAAGTGAATGTTGAAACCTAATGATTTTCTTTGGGCAGTAATTTAATTTACCGTCAAAGCCAAGTTAACGACAGAATGTGCTTATCTATTACTTGCAGATTTATTTGCCACCCCTTACACACTGTTTCCAGATTCGTAAAAAGTAGATGAAAGTAATTTCACAAGCATAGCATGAAACAAAATTTGCTGAATTTTTGCAAGAAAAGTTCAGATACTTTCAATGATAGATGTGTGGATTCATTGAAATGTGACTTACCTCTGAGTTAAGGTGCAGCTATTTTGATGTGGTCCATATTTAAACAATCTTAAAAGATTTATTTTTTTAAGTGAATTTTACATTGAGGAATGTCAGTGCCAGGTAGTGGAAAATGTGATGGAGGTGAAGAGGAGAGAGATACTGAAAACGCAAAGAGGTAGATTTTCAGATGGCCTTTGACAACAGGGAGGGAGGGAGTAAGTCGGAGGGACCTGGTAATGGAGATCCATATAGCGAGTGACAAGTGGCTGAAAGCTCACCCACTCATTGTGAGGAGACGTAGAATAAGCCAGGGTTGGCTGAGTGAAGGGAACAGGCGGGTTGGTAACGGTAAGGAAGCTGCAGAGGGAGGGTGAAGCAAGATCATGGAGCGATTTAAATGTGAGGTCAAAGAAAGTGAACTTGATTGACTGGGGCATGGGAAGACAGTGGAGCTGAGGAAGGAAGGGAGTGATGGGCTTTCAGAGCCTGGTACAGAAGAGGGCATGGGCTGTAGGATTGTGGAGAGTCTGCAGCTTGTCCAAGATAGCGCAAGGAAAGGGTTGGTATAATTGAACCTGGACATATAAAGGTGTGGATGAGGGTCCCGTGGCATGTGGGAGAGGTAGTAGTGGAGGTGTACAATATTGCAGAGGTGGTTCTGGTTTTGAATTCCTCTTTCCCAACTACAGCTTCATCTCCTCTGAATAATACTTAGATCCATCATTTGATATGACCAAAGATTCAAAGCATCATAGACCTGCGTGGACGACCTTTCAAAGCATAACATACTATCTTCATTATAGTCTAAGTTATAGTAATTCTAGATAAAACATTTTGTCCCAGAGCTGAATTTTAAAATACAATAAAAGTTTTGTAGCGCCTTTCATGTCAGGAGGGTGTCTCAAAATTCTTTGCAATGCTGACTGGGAACCTGTACTGGGAGTGGAGGCCAAAGCGAGTGAGGAGGAAAAAGATGACCAAAATCACAGTCAAGGTAAAATCCAGTACACAATTACACTTGTGAAGCGCCTTTCATATTGGGAGGATGTCCCAAGGCGCTGAACAGTCAAAGATTAGGACCCGAACGGGGGGAGGGGGGGTTGGGACCACGGAAGGCAGAGAGGGTGGCTGAACGCAAGGTCAAAGAGGAGGATCTTGAGGCATACCTTGCAGGAGGCAAGGGGCTGAGTGAGACAAAGAGAATGTGGGATCGAGTTCCAGAGGGTGGGGGCAGAGAGGCTGATGGCCTGACTGTCGATGGTGGGACGGACTGGACGGGGGACATGGAGCAGGCTGGAGCTTGCTGAGCAGAGAAGTTGATAAGGTGTTAGCAGTTTGGAGAGGTAGGAGGGGGCAAGGCCAAGTGAGGACAAGAATTTTTAACTCGATCCTCTGGGGGATCGGGAGCCAGTGGAGCCGGGTGCGGATGGGGGTGATGGGGTCATGGAGCCTGGTACAGGAGGAGACACACACTGCAGAGTTCTGAATGATCTGCAGCTTGTGGAGGGAAGAGTTGGGAAGTCCGACAAGCAGGGTGGTGGCATAGTCGATCCTGATTGTAATGAAGGCGTGTAAGAAGATTTTGGCGGCCTGAGGGGAAGGCAGTGGCAGAGTCGGGCAATGTTTTGGAAGTGGAGGAAGGCAGAGCAGTTCATGGCATGGATGTGGGGGAGAAAGGTCAGTTGAGGGTCGAACAAGATGCTTAGCTTCCTGACTGGCTTGGTGAGGTGGAGTGTGCATCCTTGGATGCTGATGCTGCCAGTGCCTGAGGTGCAGAGGCGCTGGCGCGAGCCAATCAGGAGAGCCTCGGCCTTGCTGTCGTTCAACTGTAGAAAGTTAGCTTTCATCTAGGACTTGATGTCTGACAGACAGTCTGTCAGGATATCAGTGGTCCTGGGGTCTTGGGTGGAGGCAGAGAGATAGAGTTAGGTTTCATACGCATACATGTGGAAGTTAGGTATATTTTGTAAACAAAACACCTCTGCAGGTAAATAAACCTACATGTTATAGAATGTCACACTCATCTGTAGAGCTCAGTGATCCTCCATTCAAAACCAGGTATGATAATATAATTCTGTGCTGTATATTGTAGTTTGGGTGCCACTGCCCCTACATCCTTGGTATTAATTGAATAACTTAGGCTCATACATATTTAACAAAATATTGTATATTGCATTACATGAAACTACCTATTTCATTTTGACCCCTGTTCAATCAATAAACTATTACAGTTGCAAGCTTAACATTCAATTCATTAACAATGACAGATACGTTATTGGATGTAATTTTGCTGTTCATGAGAATGGAGCATTGGCACTGGACTGGCTGCTTCTAGCTGCTCTCCTTTTTCATTGTGGATATGGATTACAGCTTCCTTATAGCTGTGAAGATGTGAAGCTTTCAATTTTGATTTGTACCTCACTTCACAGTGTTAGTAAAGGCAAGGACTGTTGTTCATCCACTAGACTGAGTGGCATCCTGATAAACATTTAACAATTTGTAATTACTCAGCTTTCAGTGTTCAGTAATTCCAATATTTGTTTCTCCCTTTTACTGAAATTCAGTGTGCAGTTAATCATCATCCAGTAAAGGGACTATTCACTAAATAACTATTTAAAGAATAGAGTTTTTGTGTTACTGTATCTCATATGCCAGTCACATTTATAATATGATTTTATTGAGACATGTTAATCATTTAAAATATGAAATAAAAAGCAATCATCGAAACTGAGAACAGCAGATTGTTTAGTGCATGAGGTGTAATAAAGAAGGGTTGTGGCAGAACAGATATGAAAGGATTAAAATATTAATTCAGTGAGGCTAGGGCTATTCATGGTGTTCGTATATCTAATGATAATTGACACCCAGGTTGAGAGTGAAGAGGTTTTGATGTGTTTGCATATTAAATTCAGGTTAGTTGACTTGCTAAAGCGCTTTAATATTGCAAAATTTATGATGTTAAATGGCCCTTAAAATGGATTCTATAGAAAAAAATAAGGCATAGGATTTGGCAATTCTATTCTTTTATAATACAAGTACTATACTTATGATTTTAATGGATTATTTTGTGAAATAGTCTAATAAAAAGGAGATTTCAACCAATTTACTCAACAAAGTGCACATGAAATACAGTATTACGGTGAGTCCTTAAAGCATGCCTTATTGAAAACAATCAGGTATTTAATATACATATAATAATAATCCTTGGATTTGATAAAGCGCTTTTCATGTTTTCTAGATGTGTCAAAGGACTTCACAGAGTATAAATACAACATAATGAAATAACTTCTTTTGCAAGTGTTCATCATATTCATAAACAATGGAGAGTTTATCACATAATAATTATATCATTTTTACCTTTGTCAATGGAACAGGACTTCAGGCATGTCAAACCATAACAATCACAAGAGAGAATTTGTTTTTAAAATTTCATTTGAAATTGCCTGATGTCTCTT